AGGGACACTGAGGCTCAGGTGGCGGAAGTCATGTCCGCCACCACAGAACTGCTTCAGAAACTTCAGAAGACCAACGAAGTGGTGGGGAACTTGCTGACGGATTTGCATTCTCTTCAATCTGTGACTACTCATTGCGTTAATTCTCTTCAACTTCAAGAAACAACAGAGTTGCCCCCAACACTTCCAGCAGAAATTGAAGTCTCAGAGTGAAACGTGAGCAGTTGCAAACAAGCGTTTGTGCGCCAGTGTCATTGCAAGGGTGTTGCAAGGGATGTGCAAGGGACTCGCAAGTGACGTGCAAGGGATGTGCAAGGGATGTGCAAGTGACGTGCAAGTGATGTGCAAGCTCCTGCTTAAGGTAAAAGAAACTAAAGAGTGCGCGTGTGCGGTGCTGTGCATCTTCAGGTTTCTGCATGAGCCGTCTTGAGTTGCAGCATTTGACATCCAGTGAAATTGTGTAGGTTGTCCAACATGAAGCGCAAGGCTCGCGAAGCCAACTTGCCTTGGAGTACGAGCCGCGACTACAATTTTCGGATGTGGGTTCGTGTATGCAGTCGGGCAACCGGACACGAGACTATTATTCTCCACATCCAGTTATCAATCAACGATTCCATCAACGTTGCCAAATACCTTGTCGCGATGCAGCTCTGGGAGAAGTTCGGCTGGTGGCCTAGGTTGCACACCTTCCAGCTTGCACAAAACTTTCGTCATCTTCGGTTTACAGAACCAGTTACGACTGCTCAAACCCTCGAACCAGTCGATTTCGTCGTTACGGTATAAAAAGAGCCCACCTCTGTGTCAATTCAAGAGCAGTGACGAGCAAGGGATGTGCAAACGGATTGCAAGTGATGTGCAAGCGGATTGCAAGTGATATGCAAGGGTGTGCATGAGTTTTGCTTCAAGCACTCGGAAAATTGTGTAGACCCCGAACATCATGGATTGGGCTGCTTCTGACGTGCTCGACAACATCTTGATGTACGTGTTGCCGATCAGAACCAGAATCACATTCATTACCCGTCTCGATCCAAATGATGACCCAGAAGAGGCACAACCCATAACCGACACCATGGTGGCGTACACTTTTCTGCGACGTGGGATACAGGAGTTTCGACTGTCCTCTTCGGTTGAGTGGACCATGGGCTTTCAGTCTTTGCATACCACCATCCGTTTTGCACAAATCAATGCCGCGGCATGCACCATGTTGAGCAGCCCGTCAAAAAGGTGGATGAGAGCTGTCGTAGACCTAGTACAGGAGCGTTTGCGAGTGAGCATTGTGTCACTGG